TGTAGTGGCTGTAGGAGCCAAAGTTGGGCTTAAATCGGGGGACTTTACCCGCTTGCTCCGGGTAAAGTCCCCGGTCGTGACCGAGTGTGACTGCTCTGTGTTGGGTTGTCAGCTTAATTTACCTGTTCAGGTCAGCGTGGGCTTGTGATCCCCAACCTCGCTTTGCACAGCAGTGTAAAAGGGTTAATAACGATGTGTAACAGGAGGTGCTCACTTGTGCCTAATTCACTGCTAAAATGTAATTAATGGGAGAAAAGGGATTATGGGGACTAAAAGTATCAGTGAAATTCACAGCAGAGGGAGCAGGAGCCAGACTGAAACATGGCTTTGGTTTCTTTGTATGGTAAAACATCTAGGGCGTCACCAAGTCTCTGGAATTGTCTAAAATAATTTTTTTTTTCTTGCTAGACTGAAGCTTGTTCTATTCTAAAGACTGCTTTAGTAGTTCTTTTAAAAAAAAATTATAGAATAGAAAATTGCTAGATCCATACAAATGAATATAAATAAATCTATATAAAAATGTCATAGTACTGCTTTTACCTCAGGTGTTTCACTTCAAGTCTGTGATAGTCAGTTGGAGCAGTGTTAGAGGTCCTTCTGAAAGCTGGTGGTAAATACAAAATAAAAATTTTATCATTTTAAATAATGTTTTCTAAGTTAATATTGGTTCTACATAGCTTTGTTCACAAGCTACTATTTATTTATAAATCACTTTCAGTTTTCTAGGTGACCTAATTGCCCCTTCCAGTACCTGAAGGGAACCTGCAGGAAAGATGAAGAGAGACAGTTTACAAAGGCCTGGAATGACAGGACAGAGGGAAAGGCTTCCCACTGCCAGAGGGCAGGGCTGGATGGGATATTGGGAAGGAATTATTCCCTGGCACAGGTGCCCAGAGAAGCTGTGGCTGCCATGGATCCCTGGAAATGCCCAAGGCCAGGCTGGACAGAGCCTGGAGCAGCCTGGGACAATGAAAAGTGTCCCTGCCCACATTAGGGGATGGGTTTTGAGCTCCTTTCCAGCCCAAACCAATCTGGGATTGCAGGGCAGGGCAGTGTCAGGGCTTTCCCTGAGCTCCAGACAGCAGCTCCAGTGCTGTGGTGAGTTTTGACACCATTTTAGAGGATTGTGACACTCAGTGCCTGTCTTGCAGCAGGGATTGTTCAGCACCATTTAGGGAGCTGGAAGCTCAGAGGTGGAGGCTTGGTGTTTGTGCAAGCCCTCAGTGGAAAAAGGAGATTTTCCCTTCAATCCAGCAGCTCCTCAGTGTCTGTCTGGGATATCAAAGTGCCAGATACCTGCTCTGGTGAGAGGAGATTCTGTGAGCACAGGATTGGCTTCAGCACTGTCATTGCAACAGCTTGGATCCCCTTAACACAAACTTCAAACTGTCCTAAACTGCAGACTGAAAATATGGCTAAACTGTGACTAAAAATATGGATTACTGTTCCTTAATTTCTGCTTATAGGTCAGCTTCATTATGATTTCTAATCATTACTTTAATTCTCATTCTCTTTGGTTTGGTTTTTTTCTCAAAAATGACAAGCAAAATAAATGTTTCTGGAAAAGCTTCATTCATGTAAACTTCCAGTTTTTGGGACTGCTGGATATAAGTAAAAGGGCATCATTTGACATGGAATTTGTTTCTGGGTTTCCTAAGATTGTTTTGCTCAATGTGTTGATATTTCAGCTTTATATTAAATTTTTTGCTTCTGTTGCAGAATATTTGAATAAAGTTAAATAGTCACTGAGCAGAATTCTTACTCCTGATCCCACAAAGTAAAACCTTATGCTTTGAACACAATATTCTGTGTGAAGCTTTATTCTTTCCTACCTTGCTTCTAAAATAGGAAATACTATAGATTTTTGGAATGCCTCCCTTCCTGAAGGGCTTTGTTTCTCTTCAACAACTCTTGTGTTCTGTGTCTGTGTGAGACACCAAATGTCAGTCTGTGCTCAGAAAAGCTTTTTACTGATGCTCCAGGTCATGATGCATTTATCCAAATCTGTTTCTTGCTTCTGTAAAGTCTCAGGTTATTGGCAAAATAATTTATTCTTCCCTGTGACCATGGCACTCAACGTTATTTTTCTTTGCCTAGATCATGACAAAATGTTTAAGATGAGTGAAAAGATCTTGCTGCTGTGTGTGGGGGAGCCTGGAGACACGGTGCAGTTTGCAGAATACATCCAGAAAAATGTTCAGCTCTACAAAATGAGAAATGGTGAGTGCAGCAGGACAGGCCCTAGGGGTGGTAGCAGAGCTAAGGGTGGTTCCCAGGTGAATGTTGGTGGAAAGTGCTGTTCTCAAACCCTCTGTGAAGATTCCTGCATTTTTAGTGTCCAGCAAAGGTGATAATTCAGGCAGGATGCAGAAATAGAGTCTGGATCCAAATCCTGGAAAACTTCTTTGCAATATAAATGACACAAATATTTTACTGACAGACTTATTCTCTTAATACATCCATTGCATGCTAACTGTCACCAGTTCTTCTGATATATTGGACGAAGAAGTCAAGCTACATGTCCTTAATATTTTAATTTTTTGAAGCCATTTATTTCTATGGTCCATAGAGATATGAAATACCCAGAGTCTGAGGGCTTGTAGCTTTCAGAATAAACCAGAATTAGACAAAAGGCTCTATTTTGTCACTACATTTTGTCATTTCAGAGAAGGCATGGGAAGGTGGGAGGTGAAACATGAATGATTTGGGCTGTTACCAAATAAATATTTGTCACATTTCTCCTCCAGGTTATGAATTATCTCCCACTGCAGCTGCAAACTTCACCCGGCGAAACCTCGCGGACTATCTGCGGAGTCGGGTGAGTAAAGCTGAGAGGGTTTGGCACAGGGAGCATTTCCATCCTCAAATAATGGAGTCTGAAAAAGGTGGGAGCTGCTGTTTTTAGTGCTGAATTTGGAACTGGCTGCTCAGGGATTTAGTGGAGTCAAGGAACATCCAGTGCTCTGGTCTGGGTAACAAGGGGTTGATGGGTCACAGGTTGGACTTGATCTTGAAGATCTTCTCCAACATCACTGATTCTGTGAGTTCACATTGCTGAAATAATGTCTTAGTAAAATAGAACTTGATTTGCTTATTTGAAAAACTTATCACATCACTTATCAATAACTGATACAGCCATAAACTTAAAATTCCAGCCTTGGGCCCAGTAAACACTTTGTCACACACTGCAGACGTGAAGTGAGTTAAACTTCCTGAACATTGAGATAAGGTTGTGGGTTTCATGCAAATGCTCCAAATCCGTTTAATCTTCTTGGAAAATGATTTCATAGAGCAAAGCTGTTTGATGTACTTAGGAAAACAAGTGCCTTTTGTAAACAGCAACATGAGGCTTTTTGGTAAATACCACATCCAAGTTGGGGTTGTGTTTTCAAGTTACTGAACTGCAATTAGTGATGTTTCCCAGGGTGCCTTTTTTCAAAGTATGAAAAGCTGCTGTGAGGGGGCAAATAAACCTTTAATGATCTAAGGTTAGGAAACATTTCATTGAGAAGAATGTAATGTGCTACATGAAAGAAAACAGGAAGAAAGAGGATGTTGAGAATGAAGTTGTTCAGCTCTGTGAAGGATCGAGTGTGGGTTAAACTGTGTTGCTGTTTTAAGAGTGCACTGCTCAGGCCTGAAATCAGGTTTTACAGTAGGAAATAAAGGCCAGTATTAACCTCAGAGCTGTTTTATTAAGAATTACACGTCTTGAGTGAGAGTTCTTCCAGAACTCATGCACAGGAACAGCCAGAGATTATTGTTCTGATTTCTGACACAAATCACAGCTGCAAGTGGGAATTTTTCCTTGTGAGTCCCTTCCAACTCAAGATATTCTGTGATTCCACACTGCTCTTCTGGTTTAAATGGCTTAATCCAGCTGCAGGCTGGCAGGTGGTGGTTGGCAGTGAAGGTGTTTGTGTTGAGGTGTGGTTTGGGAGGTCTGGGTGTGTTCTGTGCATTCCTGTGCAGTTCTCGAGGCTGATGTGAAGCAGTGAGCCTGGCTGATGGCTGGCCCTCATCTCAGGGCCATGACCTGCACAGATAAGTCTGAGCCCTCTTTCAGCAGAGGCAGCCATTTCTTACATATGATTTAAAGTATTTTTAACAGGCTTTTTGATAAACCTGCCCATCAGGAGGCAGCACTGATGAGGCACCTTTGTCTTCCTCTGCACCACATCCCTTGGGGGCTGATCCTCCCTGTGGCTCCACTCCCTGCTGAGCCCACTCCTGCCTTCCAGCTCACCTTCTGCAGGAGGCAGCAGCGTGGGGAGGACACTGGCAGAGGCAGATGTGTTTATTTACCAGAGACAAAAACGCTGCTCTGGTGCAGATGGCAACGCCCCAGGGCACACAGCGCTCTCTGACACTGCTGTCACACTACACCGATCTCCACATTGCAGGCAGAAGCTTTTTCCTCTAACTTAGCACTTCATGGTTTGTTTGTGGCATTTAGAATTTTACAATACAAGCCTTGCCATCAGAGTTGGTTTTTTTTTTTCCTGTGATTTTTGTTACATTTTCATCATAATATACCAGAAGGATTAACGCTGGTGCTTGAAACTGCATAAGGGATTCCTGGAGGCTACTAAGGTAATCATGTGGATCATGAAAATGAAAATTAAAAGGTAAAACATGCCAGTGCCTCCTGTTAGGAGTGAGAAGTAAAAAATTTGGTGGGGAAAAGTTTGGTACAAAAATGTTTGGCACATTGATCTCACTGCTGAGGGGGGGAGTAGGGAAAAAAGCCCCCTGCCCTCCAAAGGTGATGAAGTTCAGTCTCTGACTGTGATGCTGTTTAATTATAGGTGACAGGGCCTGGCTGGATTCCAAAGGCAGCTCTCAGCTCCTCTCCCCATGTCCACACTTGGCAGGAGGTTTCCTTGCTCCCACCTTTCCCCCTCGCTGTGACTTTGGCTTCCGCCAGATGTCACAGGGCTGTGTCACCACCGAGCTGGGCCTGGGCTGCTTGGCACAACCGTGCTCTGCAGCTGTAAACCCTGAACAATTTCACACATCTCCTAATTGCTGTCGTTATTTTAAATCAAACAGCACCAAGTGCAAAACTACTTGGGATGAGAAATGGTGCTTCTGTAGGAAGGGAAGTCTGGGGACAAAATAATGTCCTGGAGTGTTAGTCAGCACTCATTTGATGGCCCTTTAACCACACCAGTCTTGTAAAGAGTTGGGAATTGTTGGCATGGACCAAGTTACAAAAGTCAAAGAAGGAATGGACAAAAAGATTGGGATGTACAAGAAATTCCGGTCCCAGCATTGAGGTGTTACACTGCAAATTTCATTTATAATCATGGAAGTAGTAAATAGATTATGTATATTTGCTAATGTTGAAATCCTTTCTAGACTAATAAAGCATGAGGGGTAATTATTTACATTTGAGTTTTAAGAAGTCTCAGAGACCATTAGCAGGAGAACTTAAAACTGAAAATCAGTTTACAGATGGGTTTAAGTCTGTATAACACCATTTATTTATGGTTGAGTATCTCGCATATGCCAATGTTGGTAATTCCAAGTCACACAATAATTTGAGTGATCTTGTGTCATGGCTCTTAAATATCAACTTGTGTGATGTTTCAGAATAAATAAATGATGAAATACAGCCTAATTAAACCAATACAGCTGCATGGTAACTTCTTTCCAAATATTCTTGGATGCTTTGAAGATTAAATCACACAATTTAAAGTGATGTTTTATATATAACTGTAGCCTGCTTTATTCTTTCATACTGTCTGAAAGTAAAAATATAGTGGCATGTGATTTTTTTTTTTGTTTGTGTGGAAATTTACTGTATTGAGTATCAAAATGAACTTTTCCTATGATGCAGTTAATGTTTTGGCTTTAGGGTGAAATTTTGTTTGCTTTTTTAATCTGGTAGTTGCATCATCATTTTTTTTTCTTATTTTGTTGCTTTGTTGATCCAGGTTTTCCAGCAGTTTGGAGATATCCTGTTAGTACAATTAATTTAATAAGAAACATTGTGTAGATATGGAAATACTGGAAGTATATAAAAGCTGCTTTTAAAAATACATACAATGCCCAAATTTTTTTCTGATCCTGTGTTTAAAAATAATCCAATGCACGTGTGTTTCATGGTTTTACAAAGTACAGATCTTGGAAGGAGATGTAGGAGAAGAAGAGATGTCTGATTTATTCATGATGGTGGAACACTAAACCAGAACATGGAGTAAACAGCCAAATATTAAAGATTAAACTTGGTACATGCAATAAAAAGCAAATTGCCAGTGAACAGGACACTGTGTGTAACTCACTGTGTGAGAGCTTTCATACGTGCTCACTGGGAAGGGGAGTGGGGAGAGAGCACAGAGCAGGTTAAATGGACAAAGAGTTCTCAGAAACTGCAAAATGTTCACGTTGTGCTCACGTGTCAGCAGTAAAAATCCACAATTTTTATGTTAAGTGAAAGAATCTGGCATGAAAACTGCATTCAAGTTTTTTAAAGTTTGAGTGTGTTGTGAAAGCTGTAAAAAACCCCCATACACACTGGTTTGCAAGAGAATAAGAGTTCTATGTTTTTATTTGCTTGTGCACTCCATGTTACCAGAAAACCTGATCACTTTTAGCTCGAGACTGTGCTGCAGACAGGATTGATGTAACATTTTATGATAAGGAATTGGCTGATCAGCTCTGCTGCTGTTCCCTGGTGCACGGGAAATCAGGATTCAGAGATTTGCTGTGAGTGCCCTAACAAAACCATCATTTCTCTTTCAGACCCCTTACCATGTGAACCTTCTCCTGGCTGGCTATGATGACCACGAGGGCCCTGCCCTGTACTACATGGATTACCTGGCAGCTCTGGCCAAGGCTCCTTTTGCAGCACATGGATATGGAGCATTCCTCACCCTCAGCATCCTTGACCGCTATTACAAGCCAGGTGAGTGGAGCCACTGGACAGGAAAATTCTCCTGCTTCAGTTTAGCACTTGAGTTTATTAACCAGTGAGAGTGACATTTGTTGAATCAGATGGCATTGCTGTGGTGCAACAGATTGGAACTTGACTTTTTCTTAGATAAATGGAGCTCGAAAGGTTGCCTTTGGTTTTGCTAGCATGGGAACAGAAAACTAGTCAACTCCTTAATTTTTTTTTCCTGTTTGCAGCATATCAGACTGGGAGTAAAGGACATTTCAGTTATTCTGAAATATGATTAGACTTTCCTGGACCATTGGCAGCTGGTAGTCTGCTTTTAATAAATAACAGTTTGACAGCTCTATCTTCTTGCTTGTCTGTTGGCTCTGACATGTACATTTTCCCAGAGTATCAATATTCAGAGGTCAGTCCCAGATGCTATTGCTCCATATCTTGGATTGGCTCTGTGTGGGATAAATTAAAAACATTCAAATGAAAAGATGTTCCTAGCAAGATCATCTCTAGCTCTCTGAAGTGGTGGTGATGAATCACAGAATATGGAAAGGTTTGGGTTGGAAGGAACCTGAAAGCTCATCTCATTTCACCTCCTGCCATGGGCAGGGACACCTTGCACCATCCCAGGGTGCTCCAAGCCCTGGCCAGCCTGGCCATGGACACTTCCAGGGCTGGGGCAGCCACAGCTTCTGTGGACAATGGAGAGGTTTTGGTATTCACAGTTCTGTGCACTTGGCAGCTGCTCATCATAACTCTTGCACATGTTTGTACCTGTCTAAACTTTCAGTTTTAGCATCATAATCCAGTGCCAAGAAAGATACGTGGCCCCATCCCCACTGTGCAGATAAGGAAATGTGCAAAGCACAGAATATTGTTAATCTGACATCTTTGGCTTTAGCTACAAACTATTTGACTCCTGTGTGCAAAGCTGAGTTTAAGTTATTATCTCTGCTCTGAGATTAGAAATCCTTTCATCTGCCTCCTTCAAGAAATGTAGCTATAAACTGATCATTTTCATTTAACTTGCCTGAGCAGTGGATGCAGGTCTGGACCAAAGCCTAGAAAGAAGTTTTAGACCCACCAACCCTGTTTGTTTTCTAGTCATGTCCCTCAACATTCTATTGTTCCATTTTCACCATTCCTTGTGGAACAGAGGAAAATAATGAACTTCATTGTCATGGCTTGTCACCCCTATAGAGTGCTGGATTTTATCCTGAATTGTGAGAATTGCAGGAGCATCCCGCACGTGCCTTGTCCTTTATTGAGCTCATACCCAGCAGGAACATCCACTAAACCCATCTCCACCTCCTGCCCTGGACTGGGGCAGCTGGAGCTGATTTAGAGCTGCAATAAACTGCAGGAGAGGGAGGTGGCTGTGCTGCTGTGAGCCAGGCCCTGGCCATGGGAGGCAGAATTCCGTCATGCTTCCCATTCCCTGTAACAAATCGATTCTCAATGGCTCGTTGGGGCGTGAGCACCGCGGTGCAGAGCGTCCTCAGGACATCTGGAAAGTGTTTGCTGTGAGCTGGGAAGGAGAGGTTTTGGTGCTCAGCTGAAAAGTTGTTTAAATTTAATAAAAGTTTCTGTGGAGAGAGATGGCCTCTAATGAAATCAATCTGTGGATGTTTTCCCTTTCAGGTATCACACGTGAGGAAGCTGTGGAGCTCTTAAAAAAATGTCTACAGGAGGTGAGTGGCTGAACTCAGGCCCTGATGCTCCTGAGAAAGGAATGTTTGTTTGCATTCATTCCTGATACTTTCCTGTTCCTCTTGCTGCATTTCTTGCTGCCTTTGCCAGAAGTGTAATAAAGGCACTGGCCAGATGTGGAATAGCTACTGAGGAAAAGGATTTACAGGCTGTTGCATTGCCTTTGCATCGTTCATGTCCTCCAGAACCTAAATTTGAGCTTTTTGCATGCTTAGCATAATATTGATCCAGACTTTTCCCTCTTATGTTTCTTCTGAATGTACTGCAGCCTGCTTGTCACTTGTGTTACACTTAAGAACTCTTAGAAGCACATACTAATTCTTGTCCAGCTTGTGAAGTGATACCTGAGGTAAAGCCTTGACCTTAAAGTTCATGACCAGTTTTAGTGTTAACATTAGACTCCAAACATTTCAGACACCAAGGCTTTTATTGTAGGAAAATAGTCTTTATCCTTGTCTTTAAGAGATTGATTTGAATATAACATCAAGAAGTGCTCCAAAGAGGTCCTGTTTGAAGTATCTTTGTGTCCAAAATTTTAGCCCACTTTAGTTTTCCTGCTTAAATGTCTTCCTTGTTAACAGGCCTGGCTATTTGACATCTCTACCCAAGGTTTGTCTAATAGGAACCATCTTACAACAAACTCCCACTAATTCACTCCTGAGCAGTGAAAAAACCCCACTCTAGTTCCTAATATTTCAGGTCACTAAAACCAGGATAGAAATTTAAAGTATGCTTTTCTCTTTGGTATAAGCTTTGAGTGAATCTCATTTCTTCTTTTTGTCTTTGCTGAGCAGCTCCAGAAACGCTTCATCCTCAACCTGACCTCCTTCAACGCCCGGTTCATTGACAAGGAGGGCATCCACGAAGTGGACAATATACCCCTTGCCAAAGTGGAGTCCTAACCCCCAAGATCTTTCTTCAACAATCTTGTTTTGTTCTCTCTTGGTTTGTTTTTTTTTCTATTCATTTGAAGTACACGAGTAATGTACTGCAGTGGGAGCTCAAATAAAGCCTGACATTTATATAGCCAGTTTTATCTTTTTATTCCACTGATCCTTCCTGAGAGGATTTGAGTGAATTGTTCCACAGTGAAAGTGAATCTTGATTTACAGTTCATGGGGGCACATTCAGGTTATTTATCTTTCCTCTTCTGAGATTTTACTGCTCTCCAAATTTCTTATTTGTGGGGAAATTGTGTTTTCTAGATGGCATTGTGCTGTCATCAGTAAAGCTCATCAAACCCCAGGCAAGTGGTCCATGCCAAACATGCAGCATCTGCATTATTTTTTCAAAGATCTTACCACTCTTTGCTGTATAAATTATTAATCAGGTTTTCAGAGACCTAATTTGCTTTTGATAGAGTTTTTTTTTCACTTGAATTAGATTGATACAAAGGTTTCCAAGTAGAATGGATTTTGAAATGCACTTTTAACTCACCTGGCAGTGGTTCTGTTACTGGGAAAGAACATTCTGCTGGCACAGTGGGTTCATAACTACATTAAATAGAATTTAAGTAGTATTTTAAATAGAAACTAATATATCAATTGTGTGATGTTTCTTAATTGATGTGTCTGTACATTTAGAAGTACATGAAAGCAGTTCAGTGAGAAATTCGACTGCAGCACTCCTCATAAATCTTTGAATTACTCTCAGCTAGCTAGAGCTTTGTTTCCTTGAGAATAATCCCTGATGATCCATCTAGGCTAAAGATGCTGCTTCCCTACAAAACCCCCATTCATGGGACAGCCTCAGATAATTATCATGTGGCTGATACTTGTGGTCTGCCCAGAAGTGATTTTTGTGAGAACAGTTTTTGGTGTGACTCCTTCCCTACTGGAATTGGCATTAAAATTGCTCTGGGTGCTTATTTTATGTTGGAATAAGCTCAGAAAAAGAATCTTGGAAGTAGGGTAGATGTGTACAGGGTAGTGTGCAGAGTGATAGTTGTGTGTTGTGGCACAAGTTCTCAGCTGGAGAAGGTGAGTGACAGACTTAATTGTTAATTTGTTTAAGCTTTTTGGTCTTACCTCAGTGGTCTGTTTGAGAAGCTTCGTTTCTTCCCAAAAAAATGTTCTCAATCTTAAAGTATTCCTGTCTTCTGGAATGGATGAGACTGAGACTTGCTTAATGTCACAGAAGAAATTTGCAGCTCCAGTGCCTTAACTCACCCTTCCTCTTACTTAAATCTAATTCTTCCCTGGAGTCCCATCAGGCTTTGTAGTTTAATTCTTCCCAGAATGAGTTTAATTACAGCTGGGTTTGCTGTAATGCCTGCAATGGCTTTTATTTAAGGCCAATGGCACAGAACTCTAAAACATTTTGCTACAACTCACTTTATCTCTTGAAAACCTTTTAAACTTTCACACTCAGCAATCTCCAAACTGATGATTTCCTCTTGGCAGGTCACATTTAACACGAGCAGAGTCGGAGCGCTGTCGTTCCTCCGCTGAAATCTCACCCCTTCGTGTTGCATTAATCTACTTGTTTAGCTTAATGCAGCATCTCTAATTTATTTTCCCACTGATGTTGAATGTTTTTGCAGGTTTCTTGTCTCATTTCAAGCTCATCACTGCAGAGGGGCTGAGCTGATGTGATATTTTTGTCACTGCATATCAAAGCAGCGATGCCTCTTCATTGGAGGGATTCATTGTTCAGACACCAAACTGTGGTGTGGAGCTTTTGGGTGATGTGAGCCTGGCAGAGAATCTGCCTGCAGTTTTTATTGGCACCTATTTGCATGCAGGTGATTAATAAACATAAAACAATTATTCTCTGGTTGGATCCAGGTTGCAGTGGAACATATGTTTTGCCCAAGGGCAGGGCCCAGGATCTGAATTCCCCCATGGAAAGGAAGATCCAAGGGGTTGCATCTGAAGCCAATGGAGCAGCAACCTTGAGGAATGAATAAATACAGCCCTTGATTCCAAACCAGGAACAAAAGAACTGGCCCATGATGAGATTGGACTGTAGCTTCTAACAAAGGAGATTTTTTTGAGGACTTTCCAAGAATTCATACTTTTTAAGGAAAAGTGTGATACTTTGCTGTATAATTTACTTTTTAAAATGTGCTGATACTCAAATTCAGAAGCCAGTTTGCATTTTTGACAGTATTACATGGAATCTGTTTGAAAACCCAATATTTAAGTTAATGAAAGAGTAGAAAACTTCTTACCTGCTTCACATTTAGCCCTAAAGCTTCTGAAAACCATATTTAGCCTGGAATCCAGGAATCCCTTTTCAAAAGAATTCACCTCTCCATTTGTATTTGTCATGACAGACCTCTTTCATAAGAAATCTCTGCAATAATTGAGCACTGCAAGGAAATACTGCTTTGTACTAATTTTTGTGGTTCATATTATGAGAAATGAATGTAGCAGTCAAGGTACCTTGTTCCTGGGGCACTGTGGCCACGGTGAGCGGCTCTGCCTGGCCTTGCCTGCTAATTCTGACCATATGTTTCACTCTCAAAGCCTCAGGGCCCAAAGAGTTAACAAGGCCCTTTTTCTCGTGTTAGGTTTCCTGTTTAAGGATGGGCTTTTCCTGGGGAGCAGATCATCACCAGCTCATCTCTCCAGAGCTCGGAGTGAGCTCCAAGATCAGTTTACAGACTCTCTGTGCCTTAGGCCACGTTGGGTTGGGAGTGCTTTGCTGGAAGAGGAATGTGAGCGTAGGTGCAGCGCTCACGGGGCTTTTGCTTGGTGTTCATTACACCTTGCCATGGAAGAAAATCTGTGTTTTGGGCTAGACCTCCCTGTGACCAGAAGCATTGGCCCAGAGGAGCCATCAGAGCTCAGCTGCCTTGTGGATTTGGTCTCACAGAAATCTGTAATGGTGCCAAGACAGTTCTGCTGCCTAAAAGTGACTCCAAAAGTGACTCGAAATCCTCCCTGAGTGAAGTGACAGCCAAGCAAGGGACATCAATCAAAAACTGAAATGTCTGGAAGGTGAAACTGCCTCCCATGCTGCTGTGTTCACTTTTGTGGGGACATGCTGGGCCCCCCAGGCTGATTCACCTTCCTTTCCCCAGGATTTCTTCAAGAAATCCATTACCTGTTCTGTTAAACCAGGAGATGCTCCAGCCCTGGGCAGGTGAATGGGCTCAGGCAGGGACTGGGTATCAGTGCAAACCTGAGTGTCAGAAATTCATGAGACTGAATAGTAATAGTAATAGTAAAAGTAATAATAACTATAATAATAATGATAATGATAATAACAATAATAATAATAAATAAATAAATAAATAAATAAATAAATAAATTCAACCAATACATGCTCCAGCCCTGGGCAG